GGCTTTAAAACACCACAAATTTATTATCTAACAGTTTTCAAGAGTCAAGAATTCAGCTACAGATTAGTAGGATCTTCTGCTTAGGGTCTTACCAGGCTAAATCAAGGTGTCAGCTAGTGCTGTGATCTCATCAGAGGCACAGGGGCCTCTTCTAAGCTCACTGGTGGTTGGCCTTATTCCGTTTCTTGCAACTATGGGACTAAGTCCTGTTCTCTTTCTGTCTGTTGGCCAGGGGTCACTCTCGCCACCGTTAGGCTGCCCTGATTCTAGCCGTGTGACCCTCTCACAACTTGGCAGCTTACTTCTTCTAAGCAAGCAGGAAAATTTCTCTCCAGTCTGCTACAACAGAGACTCATAATGTAACCTGATCAAGGCAGTGACTACTCCGTCATATTCACAGGTCCAGACCACACTCAAGACGAGGAGGTTATGCAAGGTATATACACCAAGAAGCAGGAATCTTAGGGGCCATCTTAGAATTCTGCATACTGCACTTGGTTAGGGAAATAATGGTATATTGTTTCCAAATAAAGATAGAGTCATATGGATCCAATTATGCAAAGAAACAGAAAAGGGAAGGTAGCCACTAAAAGAATAAAAAATTATGCTAAAATCTCCAACCCAATAAAGGGAATGTTGAATCACATGAGTAAAAATAAGAAAAAGAGAAAAGCAGATATAGTTAGAAAATAATTAAGAAACAAAACATTAAGAGGAATAAAATAGGTCAATCACTATATTAAATGTGCTAGGATAAAAGTTCCCTTTTAAAAATCAAAGAGTGGGGGCCGGCCCGGTGGTACAAGCAGTTAAATACGCGCACTCCTCTGCAGCGGCCCAGGGTTCACTGATTCACATCCCGGGCGCTCACCGACGCACTGCTTGGAAGCCATGCTGTGGCGGCGTCCCATATAAAGTGGAGGAAGATGGGCATGGATGTTAGCCCAGGGCCAGTCTTCCTCAGCAAAAATAATAATAATAATAATAATAAAATAAAAATAAAAGACTGTCAGATTGATATAAAAAGCAAAGCTCATTTATATGTTATTTTCAGGAGCATACTTTAACTAAAGAAGAGACTTCCTCTTCTGGTAATGGCAGATAGGTAATTCAGAGCAGCTTTCCTACTGACAACAACTGAAAAGTCAGGGCAAAATATAAAAATTATCTTTCTAAACACATCAAAGAGCTAACAAGATGATGAGGTAATACCAGGTCAACATCCAGAAGAAGACAGAAATCCAGGTTATAGGCTCAACATCTGGAGTTGCTTCTGCCTAGGTTACGTTGTTTTTTTCAAAAGAGGCAACAAGGCTGCTGAAAAGCTAAGAATCTGACCCATTTGTGAAGCTAGGAGAATAAAATAGAGTCCAGGACCTACAAAAGAAGGCACCCATAAAAACTACTCTGCCCTTTGGGTTGGCACCATGCAGAGCTGTACCCTGGGGGACAGAATGAACCAGAAGTATCCACTCTCCACATGGACTGAAGCTCAGGTGTCAGTCATCTGTATGTCCCAGAAAATGTTAAATCCTAAAACTGGACTAAATTGATCCCAGTACTAATTTCCTTCAAGGGCCTGGAAGAAACAGAAGTTCACTATAGAGAAATGTTCTAAAATTGATTGTGTTAATGGTTGTACAACTCTGTAAATATACTTAAAAGCATTGAATGGTATGGGTAGGTGAATTATATCTCAATAAAGCTCTTACATAAAAAGAAAATTCCACTCTAGAGGAAGGTAGTATTTTATCCTAGACCTCAAATTTTTTTTTATAAGTAATTTTTCAAAAAATAATTTCTACTAAAACATGATCAGGTACATGAAGAAACACACCACCATGAACAAAAGAGCACAAATAGCAGGTAACAGAAAGAGATCTGCTGGTACTCCCAAGAGAGAAGTTACTAGGCACAGGCTATAAAACAATATGCTGGTGTGCACATGGAGATAAAACCAAAGTAAAGTTTCATTAAGGAACTAAAAACTGTGACATTGCAGATTAAAAAGAAAGAAAACAAAAAATTGAAATATTGACCGTCTGCTTCTGGTAATGGCAGATCAAGACTGCCAGATCTGACTTTTACCAGATCAAGACTTCTGCAAATAATACTCTAAACTCTGGAAAAAGTTTAAAAACAGTTACCTAAAAGGACTGGAGGGTAACCAAAAACAAGCAGAAACTGGAGTGGCATCTACAAATGGCAGAAGGGAACCACACTGAGTTTCCTATTTTTTATAACTTTTGCCTGAGGAAAGACCACAGTCAGCATGAGTCAGGGATGCTAAAACTTGGTGGGACCCTACAGTCTGTACTTTGATTTCATCCAAGACGGAGCAACAGAGACCAGATTTATCCTCCCAGCTGGAACAACAAAAACAGACAAAATATATAATGGATTTCAAGACATTGACCTTCAGGAAATGAAGGACAGTGAGCTCTGAGAAATGGGAAATAAAGTAAACCCTAGCTTATTACCTTGAGAGACTTGCCAGTCTACAGCATAGAAAGGGGAACCCAGGCAGAACCTGTTGCACTCCCTGAATTGAGAAGACAGAGCTGAGAGCCTAGCTAGCTGAAGACAGCTCGAGTTCACAGGACTGAGTCACTGAGAGGAGTGAGCTGCGTAGAGCGAGAACTCCAGAGATCTGCAGAGGGTCCTCAAGTACTCATCAGAGAGCTGTTGAGCTCATGCAGGTAAAGAAACTGCCCATGGCCAAGGACAAAACCATCCAGGATGATTAGAGGGACCAGGAATAATGCCTTTTTCTACCAGCCAAGCTGAAATACCTCATGATTTACGCAGAGTTTGACAGGTATTCACAAGGGTCTTGCCTCAGTAATGGGGAAAAGTTAGCCTTAGGTTAAATGCTGCCCTGGTCCTGCCTGACAAATACTAAGCACAAGACCTAAAAGTATCTGTTTCCAAGTAACTTAACTGTGTCACAAAACAGAGCTCAACAGTATTTATAGAAATATAAAAATACCCAGCACTCAACAATGCAAAATTAACAATTTCTGGCATCCATTCAAAGATTACCAGGCATGCAAAAAAGTGAGAAAATGAGACTATAATGAGAAAAATTGATTAATTGCAATTAGTCCAGAATTGACACAGTTTAGAATTAGCAGATATAGACATTAAAACAGTTATTATATAACTATATTCCATATGTCCAAAATATTAGTATAGGCATGGAAGACACAAAACAAAAAAGGACCCAAATTTAACTTTCAAAGATGAAAACTAGTTTCTGAGATGAAAAATACACTAGATAGGACTAACAGTGGCTTAGACATTGCTGAAGAAAAGAGAACTTGAAGAGAACTGGAGAACTTGAAGACATAACAATAGAAACTATCCAAAATGACACAGAAAGAAAAAAAAATTTTTTAATGAAATGCACATCAGGGAACTGAGGGACAACAAATGATGTAATATATGTGTTATTGGAGTCCCTGAAAAGAGGGGGAGGGACCAGAAAATATTTGAAGAAATACTGGCTCAAAATTTTGCCAATTTGATGGAAACTATAAACTCACATTTCCAAGAAGCTTAACAAGCCAGAGAAAAGAAACATGAAGAAAAGATACCAAGACACATCATAATCAAATGGCTCAAATCAAGGATAAAGAGAAAAATCTTAAAAGCAGTCAATGGGAAAAGACAGTTACATACAAAGGAACGAAAATAAGGATAACGGCATATTTCTCATTGGAAAATTCAAAAGCATTAAAATACTCAAAGAAAAAAATTGTCAACCTAGAATTTTATATCCAGTGAAAATATGTTTCAAAAACAAAGGCCTTTTTGAAAAGCGCTTTGACAACATCCATTCTACTGCAGAGAATCTATCCATATGATGAAAGCACCAGAACATAAGGACGTGTACAGAAATGATTGTTGTAGCATTCACAGCAGAATAATGATAGGTGAATGCCTGTCAGTAGAGGGGTGGCAGAATAAATGAGGGTATATCCACTCCCACAGACTATCAGGCAGCTATTAAAAAGAATGAATTAGAGTTACACCAAATGTCTTAGAAGGCTTTCCATATGGTGTTATTGCATAGACAGCAAGATTCAGATAATATGTGTGATATTTCATGTTTATACAATAAATAATCTTGAAGACAAAATTTAAACGTATACCTATATGTCTGTCTAGGACCATATGAGATCAAGAAGAATATGAAAGAATAACCTCCAGGGGAGGGGAAAGCCATGTTAAAAAAAAAAAGCAAAACATTTTTAATTAGAAATATAAATATTTATACATTTATATAAAATTTATGTATATATATGGATATATATAAATAAATCAGAAATATTATTTTTATATACTTTGTTTTATCCAGTCTCTCCTGGATTTGTAAACTCTCCACTCCAGTCACTAATACTAATTTTTATTGCATAATAGCTGTAATGAAAGAAGCAGGAGAGAAGGTTTCTGATGCTTGCATTTCTAAGAATTTATCTTTTTCGGTTACTTTATGATATTTGGTTTCTTAGTAGGTATTTCTAACTGAGGTAGGCTTAGCATTAATTATAATTAATAATAACATTATAATTAGATATTGTAAATATACATTTTAGACAGAGGAAAAGGGATTCTAATCAAAAGATTATAATACAAATGAGGGGAAAGCAGTTATCTGAGAAAAAGAAAAAAGTTATGTCAACCTCATGCCGTTCAGGTTACTCTGCCTTTATGTAGTCCCACTCCCAAGAAGTTCAGTTTGTTTTCCTCATGACACCTTCCCCCAGATTCTGTGACATTGTCTGTTGGTGATCGGGGAGCCCAGACAGCAGGCCTAGACCACGGATAACATCCATTTAGAGTACAGAATTCATTTGGCCCACATTTGAAAATCATAGTTAAGAATATGTCTGAGATAAGGCTTTTTCCCCTGTTTTTCATCCCAGCAAATCTGGATGAATAAGTACATGTTTGAGTTGAGTATGTTTGAACATTACCGTTAACTTCTGGGTTTGCAGGCAATGAGAAGCAGCCAGAGAAGCCTCACTTTGATTCTCGCAGTGTGATATTTGAGCTGGATCCTTGCAATGGGAATGGGAAGGTTTGCCTTGTCTACAAAACAGGGAAACCAGGTAAGAATCATTGACAGGCGTGGTCCTATAGTTTGGATATGGCCTTGGCTGACCTTGCTCTCCAGCCATCACACAAAAGGCACACTCCTCCCTGGCCTCCTGAGACACCATCAGGTCTCTTGTAGGTGCCAAGACCCAGAAAGCGCCTTTGGTCCTCTGAGCATCCCCATCTAGGCCAAATACTAGAGTCTTTTTAAGCTATCATTATTTGGAGTTACTGCAAAATAATGAGATTAGAATAATAAGTGAATAAAAACTAAAATAAATAGTCATTCTGTTTATAGACTCCTCAGCAGTCTCGTGCATTGGAAAAGTAACCAGGAAAAACATTGTCTTCCTTCCATACTTCTATATGTAGGCCAATTAACAGCAATAAACACTTGACTTACCAGACCTTGATCTAGATTCCAGATGGAAAATCAAGCGAAAAAGGCTCTGGCCCCTTGAGCAGCACCCACCACCTGGTCCCTTAACAGCAGTTCAGGCCCTTGCCTAGGGACTATGGAACTGCAGAGCTGGACAAGGCCCAGCTCCTTTCAAGTAGCTCTCTGCCTGGTAGGGGTGAGAAGATACACCAAGATTTAGCTCTGAGGAAGGGAGAGATCATCTTTGCGAAGGAGCCTTCGAGCTACATCTTGGGTTATGAGTAGAAATTAAATATGGGAGGCAGTTGGTAGATTAAAAGGGACATCCAAGCAAAGATGCCATGGGAAAGTTCAACTGATTTGGGGGGAGTGACAAATTCCAATTCACTGGTCCACATAGTTCATCTTGTGGATGAGGAGGAAATGGAGCCAGAAGGCCAGTTATTCCCCTTCATGCAGAGTTTTGAAGGAGTTTGGACATAACCTGGAAGACAGTGGGAGTCAAGGTTGTTTAGCAGAAGAATGACAGGATTGAAATGGAAATATATGTGACCACAGCAGTTTGGGAAGAGGAAGAGACTGACGGATGGCGGTCACTTAGGGAGATGTACAGCCATTAGACAGGAGATGACCTAGGAGAGGTGACAGTACTAAGAAGGGAAGGCCAGAAGCAAGGCAGGAGCTAGTACGACAGTGCCTGCTTCAGCTCCAGCAGGACATCACACAACAGCACCATTAGGACTCCAGGAGAGGGAGCTGGTCTGGGCTCCTCCACCGTGGTTTCTCACAGCACTTCTGATTCCTGACAGAGACATCTTCAGAAAACCAGAGCCATTCAGACTCTCTCCATCGGGCAAGCTGAGACCACAGTATGTACCACTGGGAGTAGGGGGAGTGCTGATTCTGCACAGCAAAGAAGAGCTGCTTAGATGGCCTGAATGCACAGATGGCCAAAGCCCAGCAGGTAGATCAATCGGCTGATTGATCAGGAGTTTGTAAAAGAATACCAAAGAAACAAGTAACAGTGGCCACTGGAGAATGGGACTGGGAGTTGAAAGGGAAAAAAAGGAACTTATATTTTACATCCTCTCTACTGTTGGAATTTTTTTTTGCCGCGAGTATATATCGACTTTAAAATGTCAATAAAAGGAAAAAAGTGTTAAGCCATCCCTTCATTTATTTCCCTTGCCTGCTATTTTAGCATTAGCACAGGACACTGAGATCTGGTTCCTGGACAGAGCGCTATACTGGCATTTTCTGACAGATACCTTTACTGCCTATTACCGTCTGCTCATCACCCACCTGGGCCTGCCCCAGTGGCAGTATGCCTTCACCAGCTATGGCATTAGCCCACAGGCCAAGGTAAGCAAACTGTCATCTCAAACTGTGGAATGTATCAGAATCTTCTGAGGAAATGCTTGAATTGCAGATTTCCAGCTTCCCCATCTGATTCAGGAGATCTGGGGTGCAGCCCAGGAAGGTGCATTTTCAATAAGCGAGGCAGGTGATTCCATCGTAGGTGGTCAACCTAACTTTATACTGATCTAGTTAGCTGGTTCCCAAACTTGGCTGATACTCAGAATCACCTGGGAGTTGTATTTCAAATTCAATTTTATTGGAGGCTTAGTTCTGATTGTTGGTTTTGGATAGGCAGTACTTGCACACCAGAAGAGTGAAAGTCAGTCTCTTATTCCCTGTTCTCTGGCCTCCCCCTGTACTTCCCACAGGCAGCCACTGTTTCAGTTTCTTGTGTGCCCTTCCCGAGGTACTCTATTGCACAGAAAGCACGCGTCCACGCGGTTTTTAGTTCCTTTTTCTTAATCACAAGTGCAGTATACTATTCACATTATTCTGCACCTTCTTTTCACTTAACACTCCATCTTGGAGCTCATTCCCTATCAGTACATATAGAGCTGTCCTTTTTAATGTTAGAGTATTCCGTTGTATGGATGTGTCCTATTTATATTACAGATCTGGGCACCATTTCAAACATACAGATGTCAGGTAATACTGATACACACTGCTGGTTTGAGAACACCAGGTGTATCTGGAAGAACTTGTGACTAGGCGACAATAAATTAGGGACTCAGCTCCATGTATATATTCATCTGGTGGGCCTCACTTTCCTCAAATGTCACATAACAACAATATCCAGTCAACATTGTGGGGTGGTTATAATCAATGAAAGTTCAATAAATGTGATGCCCTTTGCCTTCAACTGCCCAGAAAGGGAAGAGGGCACCAACACAGGCAGATTCCCTGAGCAGAGGCCTGGACTGGCCTCTGTTGTGCACCTTCCCTATGGGAAGCACTCTGCCAAGTCCACCTGATGGGTGGTGGCTGGTTTGAGTGCAGAACAATTAGAAGGACACTGTCCCCTGATGATTTGGGACCTAGCATCCCATGCTCAGGGCTCACTAGATCAGAAAGAAGGAAGCTTACTCAGATTCTTAGTTCTCATGCTGCATTTATTTTAAAGGTTATGAGACTTCATAAAGCAATGTGTGTGTCATCACTTTTGCTTAAAGGAAGTGTTAATAAATTTTCGAGGCAGTTTTTCATAAAACCTCTTACTCTCTTCTCTGCCTCATCTCCCCAGCTCTCTACTCCTATATTTCCACTAAAGAGCATAAACAATGGCATTTCTCCTTTGAATTGTGACCTTCTCTCCCACTTCTGCCTTACAGCAATGGTTCAGCATGTATAAACCCATCACCTACAACACAGACCTGCTCACGGAAGAGACCGACTCCTTTGTGAACAAGCTGGATCCCAGCAAAGTGTTCAAGAGCAAGAACAAGACCTTAATCCCCAAAAAGAAAGGGTCTGTTCAGCCTGCAGGTGGCCAGAAAGGGCCCTCAGGTCCTCCCTCTGCCTCTAAATCCTCCCCTGGCTGTGGAAACCCTGTCCGGAAATGACCACCCCTTACTCCAATTCCCTGCCAGCCCCACAGCGATGATTTCCATGCACAGATGCCCCAGGGGTGCCCAAGCTTCAGATTCTGTGTGTGGAACCATAGGCCTCTTCCCATCTGCGTGACCAAAATCCTAGGCCTTTTACTCCCGTTGGCATTAGCCAGGAGTTGGAAGGGCATACTCAGGTCTCCCAAGAGTCCTTCCCTCATACCCCTCACGGCAGGTTGTACCACCCCCTGCCTCCAGAAGCTGTGGAGAACTTCAGATCTTGTGTAAGTGGCTCAAGAGATCTGTTAAGAGCTTTCCTCACTTTCCACCCCCAACACCCTACCCCTCAGCAGTGTTTAGAGAAGTCCCCCAAAGAAACCACTGGTTTTGACCCATGAGGTATTAGAACTGTGCTGTTCAATTGTAGCCACTAGCCGCATGTGGCTATTTAAATTTAAACTATATTAAAAATTCACTTCCTCAGTTGTATTAGCCACATTGCAAGTATTCATGTGGTTAGTGGATTCTTTATTGGACAGCAGAGACATAATGGAATATTTCCATCATCACGGAAAGTTCTTTTGGGCAGCACTGAATTAGAATATTTTCACACTGCTCTTCCTCAGATCAGTTAATTTTTGTTAGAGAATGTTGATACCTTAATTTGATGGGTCATAATATTCCATGAAAACTTTTGAAGATACATTTGTATGTTCTTTATATCCTTCACCTCAAGCAATTCTTGGTCTGCCATTTCTTTTTCAGTTTCCTGTAAAGCTTCTCATCTTCATCAGTTTCCTATAAAGTTTCTTGTTTCCTGTTTTGTGATGTGATGTTTACACATTTGCCAAAATTGTATTCCTCAGCTTTTTTTTTTTAAGGTGATTCTACTGTATTTTAACCATTTAAAAACAAACTGCCAAGCATTGCTTTACAGGACTCTTCATAAAGAGTTTTGATGAAACCAGCCACTGTTGACAAGAGCTTTTCCACCTCCTCTGCCTACTCTTCAAGAATTCATGGAGTGGCAGAAAGGGATAGAGAGGGACCAAGATGTCAAGGATAATAGCTGAAGTTTAGTCTTCCAGAAGTGTTTTCTGCCAGAACTGATGAAATCAAAGGGAGAACCAGCAGCACCAGATAAGAGATTTCAGCATTTGGCTGTTTTCCACAAGACAAGTCAAGGTTAGAAGGGCATTGAGAAGTCATGTCATCTTGCACTGTGGCAGATGCTCTTCCTCTAGTACTTGTGGAGCCCCCTGGTCCAGTTCTAGATTTCACAAGTGAAGTAGCAGAGGAGTCATGAGAGCAATGGTGCCTTTCAAATCAGTGGGAGTCCTCAAAGGGCTGTAGAAGGAAGGGGGTTCTGATAAGGAAAGGCCTCGGACCTGCCTCAGGAGGAGCAGAACAGTGAAGAGCAGGGCTAGCTGCCTGATATAGAGGACTCACTGCAAAATGAAGATGTGGGGCCTCTTGTCCAAAAATCAGGAAAACAACCATTAAAGGTACTAAAATGTTTTTCCTTTCTTCCATGGTCTCTTTCACAACTTACGGTGGTTTTTATTTGCTACTTAATGCTGTTCTAAGTAAAGAAAAACTAAATTTTAAATAATTAGCATTAATTTTATCATTCATATTTATATTGTGCAATTCCAGTTTTAAATGCAACACTAAGAACATTTAACTCATATGCAGAATCACCAAAATTACAATTTGTATTTCATAGCTTATGTATATTGTATGCATATGTATTTTGTTCTTACCAGAACAGTGGAAACACTGCACAAAACTAGCTCAACTGTTATTTCATTTGTTGATATGTAGACATTTTATCAACACTCTCTCTTTCAACTTACGGTGTCATTTGTGCTTCTTAGAATGCCATTACCTTCTTTTTGCATCCCAATCAAGTCTGGTTCAAAAGGAAAGCATGGCCTCTTGGGGCTCTCAGTGCCCTCATTTACTCAGTTGTTGACACAACATGCTTACCTTGTACTTACTTTGAATCTCCCGAACTCTCACGCATCGTGGGTTCACTGGAATTCTCTGCTCACAGGCATCACGAAGGCTATAAGTGAATGGAGTAGTAAGGAACAGTGGACACCCATATTGCACGTATCTCCTCTGCTCATGTGTGTGCTCCTTTGTCTCATCAGACTTCACGTACGAAACACAATTCAAAGATAAAATTAAGAATTTTTAAGACGGTGACAAGAGAGCATTAAACCAAGTGTGAAGCCCTTCTCAGTGTGGGGCCCTTTGTGACTGTACAGGTCACACGTCCATGAAGCTGACCCCAGTGAAGGAGGAAGGAGAGCACTTCTGGTGGAAGACTTTGGACAATCTGTAGGTTGAGTGGGTTATGTGGGGGAAAAACTCCCCCATGAGATTTATGTTTTGAAACTAAAGCAATTAAAATAGCAAAGGGCCCCTCTATAAATCAACTGCCCAAGACAAAGACACTGCTGGAATCACAAAAAGAATAAATGGCAGAATGCCTTATGATGCATTGATGTAGTGAAGATTGTGCCGTGAAGGGCCACATCATCATGCGGCTTGAGTCCTAAAGCAGGAAGTACCCTGAGCCAAGGATAGGAATGACAAGGGGCAGCTTGCACATGATAATGTACAGAATCTATCCCTTAAAGCTGTGCTCTCCAAACTTGAACATGCGTCAATGTCACTGTAGTTGCGTGTAGAAAGTAAGATACCCAGATCCCACTCCAGACCTACTAAATCAAAATTGCAAGGAAAGATTCCAGGCATCAGGACTTTTAATCAACTGCAATGGTGACAATAATGCTCACCAAGTCTGACACTTTCTACTTAATGGGTCTGGGTGATTTTGTTTTCATTGCATGGAGAATTCAAAAATCTGTTTTTAGTTCAGTAAAGCATGTGCAATGGTGAATGAAGGATCAAGGGACCATTTTAGTTTCTGCATGAATATTTGTATTTTTTAAACTATTTATTGTGGAGAATTTTAAACATTTACAAAGATAGAAAAGTATAATGAATCCCCATGTATCTCTCACCCAGTTTCAACAATTCTCAACCCATGACCAATCATGTTTTATCTATATACCTGTTCTTTACCCCTCCAATTTTAATTTTTTAAATAATTCTATTTTATCTATTGGTTAAGTTATACTTATTTTCATTTTATTTTAGCGGTTGCTCTACAGATGATAAAATATATTCTTAACTAACTTTTTTCTGTTCAGTACAGTAGCTACTCATACACATAGGGTCCCTGATAGCCATATTTGTGTAGTGTAACTCTGGCCCTTGATTACAGGTGACTGGACACTGGGTGGGTATCAGTGCAAATTGGCTGCACTTTTATCCTTCGGATCTTGTGATGAATTTCCCTCTTTGGCTTAAGCCAACCGAGACTGGATTCTGTTCTCCCTGGCAACTACTCTCGTTAACACACAGCCCCATTATGAAGTTATTGTGAAGATTAAATGAGCTAATACCTGGGTGAGAGCTCAAAAGTTAGTTAGTCCCTTCTTTTTCCCTCTTCCTTTATGATGTGACTCCAGCTTTTCTTTCCAGTCATTAACTTTCCTTCCAAAGCACCAGTGTGGTTACCCTCCTCTGCCTTTACACCTACAGTTGTTTCCTACCTGCCAGTGCTGGCCAGCTGTCCCCCTCCTCCGCCCAACGTCCAGTTCCAGTCCACCTCCACCTCAGCTCTCTGTGAAGCCCTAAGTCCACAGGAGAGCCCTCTTTGGGGAGGAGTGCTTCACGCCAGCACCACTCAACTAACTTCGGTCGTCTGGCCTCCTTTCCTCTGTGCCTTCAGTGGTTGTTGAGAGGGGGGCTTTGTGTTACTCTGGAAAGCCATGCTGCTCAGTGTGGAACCCCACGAAACATTAGTAGTTAAACTTAATACTTAGTTTTGTGCTAAATCAAGAGCTGCCTCATACTCAAGTCCAGGATAGACCAATAGGAACAGACAACCAAGCAAAGCAGTGAGAAAAAAAGGTATGAAAATGCTGTTAAATGTTTATGCAAACTGTGAAAAGGCAGCCACTATTTTACAGGCAGGACACCTTAGTTCAGCTCTCAGAGCAGCTCTGTCAGAAGACCCTAACATAATGAAACATGTTGCCGATATTCCAATGTTTTGGCATCCCAACAATATCTCCCACACTGCCTCACGCCACTCACTGGCTGTGACTCAGAAATCTTTTCTCAATGTCCCTGGACTTGTGTTTCAGAAATAGGATCTTTTTGTGATTACACATCCTTATGTTTCCCACAGCACCTAGCACCCAGGCCTTGCTCAATACCCACCCTTAGTAAATGTAGCACGCAGAATAAATGCAACCATCTAACTAACTGGATATTTTCAATATCCAATTTGTCTGTCTCACGTGGATGAAATCTGTTGGGAGCAGGTCTCCCGGATGATAAGGGTGAAATGCAGTAGTGAGGACTGTCCAGAGGGTGGCATGGTAAAAACAAACAACAAACATACATAGGAAATGAAGTGGTGCTTTGTAAAGCTTTATTGTAAGGTAGATTTGACCATTGTTGGAGATCTGTGCTCAGCCGTGGCGTATATCACAGGTCATGCACACAGGCCTGGTGTGGACTCTGCAGAGGAGAGAGCAAATCTTCCAGGCGGGACACGCCGGGAGAAAAGAGTGCGTATTTGATAGCACTGAACAGCAATCACAGAATTCTCCTTTGAGGACAAGAATTCCCAAGGCTAAGAACACAATATAGGAGGTGGACATAGTTTCTTAGACGCTGTTTTAAGTTCTTGATGGAGTAAACGGCCGTCCAAAGCAATTTTATACACAAATTTCACATAAAAACCTCCTTTATGTAAAATTAATAAACAGCAACAAAGTACATAAAAATGTCTATTCTCTCAGACCTGTGCTATCCAATAGAGTAGCAACTAACCACAGGTAGCCATTTAAACTTAAAATCAAATAAAGTTAAAAATTCTGCTCCTCAGTGTCTCTAGTCACATTTCAGGTGTTCAGTAATCAATCACTTACGTCTAGAGGCTACCAGATTGAATAATGCATATATAGAACATTTCCATCATCACAGAATGTTCTATTGTGCAGCCCTGTCTTCGACCACACATGGCTTGTTTTTACATTACAATTCCCAGAATAATTCTGCTGCATAGCCCTTTTATACCATGTTATACTCAACAAAGAACAGGGACATGTACCTAATTTAGCACACTTTTTTCTAAGACATAGGATGTTACGTCCTTTCCTAGGACTGCATTCTTTCCTACTTTATATATTTTTACAATTCCTGGCTCACAGAGAAAGCCAGGGAGGAATCAGCATGCCTTGGAAAAAGGGCCGTCGTCATGGCTGCAGAGTGGGCTGCGCAGGTCTGGGCTTTGCCCCACGTGCTGGTGAAAGGCCCCAAGGCAGCTCAGCCTACAGGCCCCTGCGCTGTCGTCTCCAACATGCAAAGCTGTGAGAAATGAAGGAGGTTTTCTGCATCTTAAAGCAGCTCATCTCCTCTGCCCTCCCAGGGAGCCGGTGGGCCTGGCCTCCTGAGCTCAGAAATAACTGCTCAAGAAATGACATTTTTCAAAGTACCTGTTATTCCTTTGGAGATCAGTTACCTGTTTTTTCTTACTCAGCATAAAGACTGGCAAAGAACACCTTGGAGACCAACCAAAGCAGGGACACAGACAGCCCTCAGAACAGTCAAGTCCAACATATGGGAGACCCCATCGCTCAAGCAAAAGCTGCCAAGTGAGGGACAAACTATTAAGGACAAGATTAAACTTCTGGATTAAACCTCAAGATTAAGCCTCTTACCTTTATTGAGGCTCCAGG